TATATATTGCAATTGCACAGCAAGGGAACGTTAAGTATAACAAAGTGTGATTCTTTTTATGCGCTTGTAAGTGAATGATGAAAATAAAAGGGGACACTTGTTCTTATATATGGCAGAAATGGAGCATTGGCTTTAATTATCTTTTAGTGAAACGCCTTCGAGTATTTATTTGATAATTAATTTACGGTTTCAAACATTGAAAAAAGGTGTTGAATTCTCTTCCGTACATGTAACGATCAAACCTAATTACGTAGTGTTGAGAGGAAATGAAATTCGGTACAACCAAATCCGATTACAAAAATTACTATCTTGATTTCCATATTCGAATCCGATTGCAACTTGAAGTTAGGAAAATAAACGATACATAGTTGAAGTTCCCAACTAAACTGGGCCACTTTGTTATCCTTGGGCTTTTATGTAATCGATGCCTTTCGATAATTTGCTCTGTTCAGAAGATGACATCTTTCAAATTTAGAAATTATTTATTTGTTTTCTATTTTCCCTTTCTTACTGTGCTTTACACCTTTTATGTTGGTTTTCTTTGATTATTTAACCTTGTTTTCATGCAGAAAAACTATAACCAAAGATAAAAGATTGACCTTGTTTTCATGAATCCACATGTTCTTTGATAAAAGATAATCGGCCGTTGTTTCAGTTACGTTGTTTACATACTACCAATTATCGACTAGGCTCCATCGTCGACTAGCTTCGGATGTTTTACTTTAATAAATATGCGAATAGTTTACTTTGTCCTTTTTAAAAAAAGGAAGGGTTGAATTGATCTTGTAAAGCAACTTTTAAAATGTGTATAGTGTACGAACACAATTTTTACGATACGGCAAAACTGAATATTGCTTAGATTAATGATAAAAACCATATATAAAATAGTTTTGATCGATTCCAAAATTACGATGAACGATGAACGGTTTGTATGGAGGTGAGACACTCTTTCCTTAATTATTTAATTGCACGTACTGTGCCAGTTTTGATGCAATCAAAATCTCAGGATATAACCACACGATCGACTATTTCGCAACGCTCGAGAATAGAAGCTAACGAACAAGAATCTGTGTACTCTCAGACACAAAACAGAAATAAAGAGAAAATAACTTGTGAGGGATTTAGTGTGTTTAATCGTGTCTCTATAATGAGTGGAGCATGGCTTGATTATATAAGCCCAAAATCTCAACGTCTCTTTCAACGTTTGGGTAATAAAGAGGAGACAAAATAATCAAAACTGATATTTAGCTTAATGGCCAAAATCAATTCACGTTAATAACCCATTAATTAGAAGAGATATGTGTTGACTTTATCAACACCTACTACAAAAGGGATTAAACCAAAAGAATTTAAGTCTTTTAGATCCTAGGCCCATTTGTCAAATCCCGAAACGAAAAACCAAAGTCCGGCCCGAATATCTCTTCTTTCCAATGCACCACAGGGTACACAAGTTTTTAAATCTTGTTATGAGTTCTCCACTTTATATACTTAAGGATTTTCATCCAAACTTTCAATGTGGGACATTTGCTAGTTTTTACACTTAGCCACATTTTAGAAGTTTTACAAGATTTCTAACTCATCCACATTGGACTTTAATTTCTTATTCAAACTAACTCCGATTTTGACAAGTAGATACACTATCTCATAGTGCTCACGGCGACGATTCTATCGTGCCCAAAATCCGGTCATTCCGATGAATGTCTTCACCAGAAAACCCACCGGGAAATGGTCTAAAATTATTTCGTCAAAACGAGTTGCAACTTATAGAAAGAAGAAATTTTTAGTGAGACTTGGTTGACTGAAGAGTTTTTGGATCCAAAGCCCGGAAGATTAAATTGCCGGAGAAAGTATCACATTACATGCTCTGGTTCCTAGCATGAAAAGATGTATGAATCACAATTATGAAAGTCATACAAAAGGGAAAAAAATTTTGGGAAATTTTCTAAGTTACACTACAAGAAAATTGATCTATTGTGACGAAAATTTGAGACAAAACATTTCCGTGATAAATTTGTGACGTTTTAGATACTATATTGTGACCAAAATATGAATGTCTCAAATTCATAATTGTCGTCACAACAATGTGACGGATAAAATTGTAGCCAAATTTTGTGATAATTAATGACTAAAATTTGTGACAAACATACAATAGTGACAACTATGACGGAATTATTACCATATGTGCTGTCACTATATTTAACAAATTTATGACGAAGTCGCAAGTAACGGTTTATATCGATATTTGTACTAAAATCAGTTACGATATGATAGTAATCAATGATAAAAAATTATCGTTATAATTTATAATAACGAAAAGGTGTAATAAATTTACCGCAACTTATGACTATTCTACTAACGCTTTATTTTGTTATATTTGTTTATGGAATGACTACTAAAATTACGTCAAATTTTTTAACATTTTTGTGACAAACAAAATTAATATCACTATTGATTTGACGTCTAGTTAATTAATATCACTATTGATTTGACGTCTAGTTTTATGTTGTACGTATTTGGTATTTTTTAGTCAGTTCTCAACCTCTTATCTCTCTTTCATAAGGTTTCTACAATAAAAACGTTGTTCTGTATTTTTGTGTTTAGAACAAGAGCTAGATAAAGAGAACAAGAGAAGATGAAGCTTACCTGCAATTTCTGCAGATTCCAACAATTTAGAGTTTGCGTTTTCCACAAGCTTTCATGCTCAAGATTCCTTCATCAAGTCCCTTGATCACATGTTTAAAGTATCAAAAACCAGAATTTTTTGACCCAAGCTAAATCTCTTTTGATTAAATATCTATGAAAAGAATGTTTTCTTGTAGTGTTTCATTCATAGCATCTCTGATTTTTTTTTTGTCTCTCTCCTTAGTTTTTCCAAATAAGAGGAGACATGATATAAGATTGGAATCCACCAAACTTATGTTCACAAGATGATCGAGAGTTTACAAGCTATGCACGCGGAAGATGGATAATGATAGCGGTGGAGATGGGGTTTGTTGTTGAATCCACAACAACACACGAATAAACTATCTTGAATCTCACAAACTAATCTACATGCAATCACACAAGACTAAGGACTCTCTCCAAAGACTCGAAATGACTAGAACTCAAAGACTACACGCTTTGAAACAAAGCACAAGTTTTTATTGAAAATAATTCGTAGAAGGGTGAATTACAATGAGCAATGAACTGAGCTTATATAGGCTCGACAAAGAACATCTATAAGGTCTAAAACAAGAAACAAATCATAAAAAAATAAATAGAAACTAGCCGTTGGAGAATTGATGAAAAAAGGGCCAAATAAGGTAAGTTGGAGGCTCCTTGTATCTTGAAAGCTTGGGAAGGAAGTGATGCGCCTTTGGAACATTCTTGATGATGTTGGGAGACTTTAGAACACGTACAAGTTGATAGAAATGTGACCGTTGTGGTTTAGAAAATTGATATCTTCCAAACCACTTTTGGTTTTTGGCATGAATCCAATTTTTTGTGGTTCTCTGATGACCCAAAATTACAAAACAAGTTGATTCGTAGCTTAATTCTCTCTGGTTTAGTCGCAATTCTCCAATGAGTGCGCTTAGTTCCAAATCGGGTAAGTTTGAAGTCACCCAACTTGAAAACTTAATAACTCCTTCATGCGAGCTGCTATTTGACTGATTCCACTTCGAGGAGTTCACTATCTGACCTGAGAATCTATTCCAAGCTGTTTGATGACCTGAATCGTTGTGGTTGAGTCGGAATTGATCAAACAGTGGCCAT